TTGAAGATATCACCTAAAAAGGGTTTCATGAGGTTTGAGAAGAGTGAAAAGTTGTCCCATCGGTTCATTAGACCTTTTGAGATCCTTGAGCAGATTGGACAGGTAGCGTATCATTTGGCCTTGCCACCACAGCTTTCCGGGGTTCAAGATGTATTTCATATTAGCATGCTTCGGAAGTACGAGTCGGATCCATCGCACGTGTTGAGGAAACAACTTGGGAGAGATCAATAAGAATCTTAGATACCCGGGACCAAGTCTTGTGAGTCAAGACAATTCCATTGGTTAAAGTATTATGAAAAAATCACGGGATTGAGGAAGCAACTTGGGAACGTGAGTTGGAAGTCCGTAAGAAGTATCCGGACTTATTTGTTAATGTTTAATCATGTATTGTATTGTTGATATATGATGAGATATGAAAACATTGTATCTGTTGTTTATGTTTTGGAAATGCAAGTTTATCATGAACATTGTATATGTTTTGGATATATGGGAATATTGTATATATTGTGTATGTTTTGGAAACATGAATTTAATATAAGCATTGTGAATGTTTTGGGAAATGTGGATTTTTCTTTTAATAGTGGAACTTGTGTATGAAAATGGATGATCCGAGAATGGGTCATGGTATTGGAATTGATTATCCATCGTTATTGTGTTTGGTTTAAGCATAACTATAAAACCTGATTTGAAATTTTGAGGATGAAATTCTTGAAAGCGGGGAGGTTATAGCGATTCCGGTTTTGACCCGTGTCTTGTGTATCCCGAACTCGGGTTTATTGGTTTCATAGTGTTGTTTATATTTTTGTCTCCCTTGTATCCTTTTAAATTTGGCTTTGGGATTATTGTGTTGCGTTTTAGACAGTTGGTTGCTTAGTTTCCAAACCCATGTTGCCTAGATTTTTGCCCTTCCGTTCAAACGGCACTTTTTGTGCTCGAGCGGACATTGCAAACTCTCAGTACTTTTGCAAGTATGCAAAATACTGGGAGAGTATATTCTACGCTCGAGCGTATCTTTCTACGCTCGAGCGGGATCAGCTCAAGTGTCAATTCTTGCGCTCGAGCGTTGGTTTGTTGTCTGCAAAACTATTAAATGTGTGTATTTGGTGCTCGACCTTTACTTCTTGCGCTCAAACAGAACAATTTGTTGTGTCTAACGCTCGAGCTGACTGTGCGTATATCAGTTTGCAGCAGCCTCATTTTTTTTATCATTTTTTCATCTCTTTCTCTCTCAAAACCCTAGATCACTATTTCTCTCTCTAAAACTCATTCTCTCTACATTTTGACCTAGATCCATTGGGTTTTCTACCCTAGTGCCTTTGAGAAACAGTTGGAGGATTCCAAGAGCTTTGTTTTGATCTGATTGAAACTTGGTTTCGGCATTTTTGAAGGTTCTACCTTGCTTTGTTCATCTCCTAATTTTGAGGTAGGAATTTTCTATACTCTCATATGGTTTTTAACTTAGTTATTTGTCGATGTGTAAGAAACTTTGGAGCTTGAGATGATTTTGAACAAATCTAGGGTTTTGGTTTAAAATCAAAAGAGGGGTTTTCAAATGTATGTGTTAAAAATGGTTATAGGAGTAAATGTGAAGTTGTGTGGTGGTAAATTTGTTGAATTTGCTATCCGGGGGCGGATTTTGGAATAAAAGAGAGTTTTGCCCAAAAAGGGGTTTAAATTGTTATTTTGTATAAATATGAAATTGGTATTGGGAATATGAAATTGGATGAATGTTTATATAAATGGTGGAATTAGATATGTATTATTTCACATCTATGGAAATTTGGACAATTATCTGCTACAAAGATTGTATATCTGTTTAGAAATATCTGTTTTGGGCTATCGGTGGAGAATAGCCAGAATTGTTGTAGAAAGTACATGTGGGTTAGGCAAATTGAAACAAATCTCTTAACTATTATCATTGAATATGATTATGATTTATATACATTGTACATGTATAATGTTTGGGAGGAGGAAAGGGATGTACTCCATGTTTGGGAGGAGAAAGAAGATGGACTCCATTAAACTAAGTTGGCCTGTGTGTTCAAGGTGAAAGTCCCAAAAACTGCACGTATACATGGATGCCAATTCCCGCAGACGAAATTTCTGTAAAATGGCAAGTGAATGTATTTGTATGATAATCAAATTGGTTGGAGACTTGGGAGGTGTATCCTCTGTTTGATTGATTAAATGAAGTGAGTATAACTAATGAATCGGGATAAAATGAATTGAGATGTACGTTTAGCATAACATGGTTTGGAAAAGAGTTGTAAAAGATTTTATCACTGGACATTAAACATGTGCATATTACTTATATCTTTGTTAAAATTCATATATTGTGATAAATTGTCAGTACTGGGCTTTGGTTCACCCTACTTTTGAAAACTATTTTCAGGTACTGGTGATATGCGGACGAAGGATTTAGCTTGGGAAGATTGTAGAGCTGAAGGCTCTATCTTATTATTTTTTTATTAACTTTTGTACAGCCAAAGGGCTTTAAATGTATTGGACTGAAAGTCAATTTTTGTTGTAACCAAGAACTATCTTAGAAAGATGTAAGCTTGTAGGGCGTTTATCTTGTTGATCATTAAGTTGGTATCACATGCTATAGATTCAGGGTAGAGTTTATGAATGTATATCGTATGTACTCTTTTTGTAAATCAACTCTGATTAATGAAAGATAACTACTTTATTTATGTCACTGTGTATATGTTGTTGGGGGCCGAATTATCACATTTATTTCAGGGCATTACAGTTCATTTTTTCAATTTGCTTAACAATCTAATTTTCAAAAATTGTTATCAGACCCACAAAAAAAATCTCACAATTTGACCCATATTAATGTAGTATAATAGGTGTCAACTTCTGATTAGTTACATATCCAATGAAATAAGAGTTTTTTTTTTTTTAATATTCTAAGAAATCAAACTATTTATTTAAATAACTCACTTTTAAACTATTAACCAAACTAACCTATTTATTTATTTATTTAAATGACAGCTCAAAATGCGCCTTTGCCATGAAATCGCATGTTCAAAATGCGATTTCATATTAACATGACCAATTGGTGCGTAGACGTGAGTCAGTTAATATATGAAATCGCATGTTCAAGATGTGATTTTACCATAAAATTGTATTTTCAACTTGCGATTTTAAAAAAGAAGTTAGTTTGATAAATAATTTGAAAAGTTAGTTATTTTCATAAATAGTTTAATTTTTTGGAATATTCACAACAACAACAAAAAAAAAAAAAACTCAATGATATAAAGCCTATATTCCTTATCACATCATTATGAGTAAATTTATGAGTAAAATATGAGTTTCTAGCATTACTCCTTAAAATATGAATGGATTAAAATATGAATGGATTGAATTAAGTGGTGTTTGGCAATAACAGTTAGAGACTATTTTAGCCTCTTGGACAAAAAATGCCTAAAAACTTCACGGTTGCTGAGAGCTGCTGAGCAACAAAGGGGAGCTTCTATATGCACACACTACATCCCCTCTCCCCACACACTTTATGAGAGAGTGTGTTGGGAAGTTGTGTGTAAATGATGTGTATAGAGGGAGAGTGGTGTGTGTAAGTAGATTCTCCCGCAACAAAGGATAAAAAGACACTTTTACCCTTTGAATATTTGACCAACCCATAACTCTCCAGCAGCTTTGATTAACAACTCTCTCATCTCCAGCACCTGTCGGTCAAGTTTCTTACAAATTTGGATTTTATTTTTTAAATTTGTAATTTTTATATTTATAAGTCAAGTTTCTTGTGTAAATAGATTCTCCCGCAACAAAGGGTAAAAAGACACTTTTACCCTTTGAATATTTGACCAACCCATAACTCTCCAGCAGCTTTGATTAACAACTCTCTCATCTCCAGCACCTGTCGGTCAAGTTTCTTACAAATTTGGATTTTATTTTTTAAATTTGTAATTTTTATATTTATAAGTCAAGTTTCTTAAAATTTTGTAATTTATTTTAATTCATAATGGTAAGATTAAAAGTCAAATTTCTTATAATGTTGCAATTTTTTTTTAATTCGTAAATTCTGTAATTCAAAGTCAAATTTCTTACAAATTCGTACTTTTTTTTTTGTAATTCGTCATTTTTATACTGAAAACTCAAATTTCTTACAAATTTGCAATTTTTTTTATAATTCGTAAAATTTATACTGAAAAGTTGGTTTCTGTAGGCTAGTTCTAATTTATTTTAATTCGTAATTTTTAAAAGTTAACGGTCAAATTTCTTACAAAGTTGCCAATTTTTTTAATTCGAAATTTTTAGAATTTTAAGTAAAATTTCTTTCAAATTTGCTATTATTTTTAATTCATAATTTCTATAATTAAAAGTCAAACTTCTAGGCTATTTGAGTACTAATTTTATTTTAATTCGTAATTTTTGTGATGACAAGTTAAATTTCTTACAATTTTGCAATTTTTTGTATTCCTAATTTTTATAATTAAAATGCAAATGTTGCCAAGATTTGTAATTTATTTTAATTCATAGTTTTTAGAATTAAAAGTCAAATTTGTAAGCAATTTGCCATTTTTTTAAATTCTTAATTTAGAATTAAAAGTAAAATTTCTTACAAAAATTGTAAATTTATTTAGCACTCATTTGGAAAGTTGGGTTGAAGTGGGTTGGGATTAAAATAGTTACAAAAAGATAAATTTTCTTTTTTTTTTAACCTTAAGCTAAAAAATATCACATTTAAAACATAATCATTTCATTTTTTTCTTTCAAAAAAATAAAAAAATAATAAAAAAAATTTATTCTAAATTAGATTTTTTAATCTCAAATTAAAATAGTCAAAAAATCAATTCACATCCCAAACCAAACCTGATTAGCTCAAAACTTTCCTTGACCACGCCCGGGCTCCCACAACCTTCCCAATTTTCTGTCACCCCAATAAAGTAAGTGAGGGAACAGAAATCAGAGATTACAAACCTGCCCACCCCGTTGTCATTTTTTTTTAAAAAGACAAACAATACAATGGCATCAGGTAAACAATGAACAAAACATTATTGATAACGTCAAAAATGTTACAAAGCTAATAATCATTTTCCAAGCAAACAAGTTTCTACAGGCTAACTCAGCAGACTTTTGCTCGTGATTGATTATTACTTGTCTAACATTTAGGCCCTCTTTGGAAAATAATGCAAAATAGAACCTCCACTCCACAATGCAATGCAATGTTCATGCCTAGCTAGCACCGTCATCACAAGCTTCCCAAAATCTGCAATGTTCAACTGCACATCCACAAAGCATTGCAATGCACAAAGTGTTAATCAAAACTTATTCAATATGGATACATAATTTTGATGCACTTATAATTATACTGCAATTACACAATATGGTAGAAATTATAAAATACGGGAATTTTGATAAACGATTATCTCTCACTAAAAATGTACTGGGATGGAGAAATAAAAGATTTTTTAGGACACAGGGTTTTGTGGCGTCACAACAATAGTAGAAGAAACAACATAACATCCTCTATTCCCCTGTCTCAAAATAATCACTATTATTAGATCATATCTTGAGATTCTTACACCTCATAATTCTCATATAATGTAACAGTTATAAATTTTTTGAGATAAGGGAACAGAAATTTGAAGACAGAGAATCCATAACTAGAAGAAATATAGAAGTCATAACAATAACTCAAGGCATGCATCCAAAAACCATAATAAAGGATGTCGAAAATGTTTCTCTAAATTTTTCTATCCATTCGTTTCAATGTACTTACAGTCATACAATATGATAGGAATTTCGAAACATGAAAATCTCGAGAAATAATTGTATAACTAAAAGTACACTAGGATAAAAGGAATAGAGAAATTTTGAGAGAAAAATAATTGTATAACTAAAAGTACACTAGGATAAAAGGAATAGAGAAATTTTGAGAGAAAAAATCTTGTATGTGAGTAATTCAAAAACAAAAACAATGTAAAAAAAAAAATGGTAAAAGAGGCAAGTTAGGGGAACCTTATGTGTAGGTGAACATCTTGACACGGCACTCGGGCTGGAGACCATTGTCAATATCAGATTGAGCAATGTCATCACACAGCACAGTTAGAGGCAACCCATTGTAGACCTGCCCACCAAGATTCATACTAATGCTTCCTTTGAAAACCAAATTCACAACCAATTCTCTCGATTTGTAATCCGATTTCAATGCCTGTCCATCCTCTGCATTCACCTCCAATTTCCTCACCGCTTTGAGCAGTTTCAGCTGCGTCACTTGCCTCGGCTTTTGCTTAAATGCCGACAGCTCTAGGCTCCCCAGGTTCACTTCATCTGCGGACACCTTAACTTTCAACGGCCCATAAGACAGGCCATGCTTTTCGTTCTTGTTCGTCGCATTGATAAGTATCTGGAAATCCATGCTAAGATGCGTTCGTTGATTTTTGCTGACTATCTCAATTTTTGTAAAGTCGAGCCTCTTGACGCGGAATTCAGGCAAACCGGATTGGAGAAAATATAAGAATAGTCCTCCAGATAACAAGAGAACCAAAACTATGCAACCCGCGATGAGGGAAGTCCAGGCACAGCATAATCCGCAGGCACGTCCTTCTTTTTCTTCTTCTTCTGCAGCATGATTTGTGTCATTGTTGGAGTCCCATTGTTTTGGGTTGGTCTGGGGTTTGGGTGGCGGCTCATCGGAGAAGTAGACGCGGCGACTCAGGGTTCGGTTGAAGCTCGCAGCACCGCTGGGGTTCTTTGACAATGGTCCTGAAGTTGCTGCCATTGTAAGAGAGTCCCAAAATCTAATGGAGGAACAAAAGTGAGTTTTGAACCTCTCATAACTGACTAGGCCATTTTTGGTACTAGTGTTTCTAAAATTTAGGAGGACCTCACATCTATAGTTGGTAAATCAGGTTGGCATTGCAGTAATAATAAACCTTTTGCCAAATGGTAATACCCTTTGGTCCTACATTGTTGATCTTGCACCATGTGAATATGTATAAAAATGTCCAAAAATAAAATAAAATAGGGTTAATTACACCTTATATCCTTATATTTTGATTCAAATTTCACTTAATCTCTATAGTTTCAATTTAAATAATTTGATCTCTATATTTTTAGTCTAACTTTAATTTGGTCATTCCGTTTAATTTTTTGTCAAAAAATTAAAAAGTGTCCTAAAATTATTAATTTTAACCTCTAATTTACACAGAATGACCAAATTGAAACCTTAAAAATCTGACAACTGTCTCAAAATTGTTAATTTCAACGTCCAATTTAGACAAAAGTCCCAAATTAAAATTAGATTTAAAGTGCAGAGACTAAATTGTTTAAATTAAAATAATAAGCGCTAAAGTAAAATTTGGACTAAAGTAAAATTTAGATCAAAATTACATATAGAACTAGGCCTATGTTGGATTTGTCCCGGCTGGGAAAATTTGAGTGATTCTAGAACTAGACGAAACATGTCATCACATTGCTGTGCTCGGACACTATTAGCACTGTAGCAATGTTTTTTTTTTTGGAACGGTCTGTAGCAATGTTCAAGTTTATAAGAACTTGAAACTTTTTTTATTATGCTCTAAAAATAAAAAAGATTGATTACACTGGGGCACCTTTCCAATTTTTCTTCCTACCAAAATCTCACTCCAGTCTCTCCATTTTTAATTGTGACAATCAACATCTTATACTTCAAGTCAAGTTACAATATTACCCTTCAATCCATCTTATGCTAATAAAACTGATGAAACTTGTCATGTAATTCATATGTGATATTTTTCTCGTCTTATTAATACTCTTATATATTTATTAAAATCTCACTTTGATTTCTTCACTTTTAATTTCCCTTAATAATCGATGTATCGAAAGATTATAATGCAACTTGAATTAAATTATAATGAGTAAACTATTATTAGAATTGAAATGAATGGGCTAAAGTGAGTTTTGATGAAAGCGGAAGCATAGTAAAGTGTAATTAACCCAAAATAAAATAAAATCACTAGTGTCTGTTTGGTCATTAAAGATCAACAACTCTTAAAAAATAAAAATAAAAATGAGAAAAAACAAACACTTGTAAAGAGAGTAACAACAATGCCATTAAATTCCAAAGAAAAATCGAACAATTGAATAGATTCACTCTCTGAAACATTGAACCTTGTATCCTGAATCAGATGAATTTTTTAGAATCGGTTAATGAAAAGAAGAATGAAAACAACAACATTCAATGCAATCATGGGGGGTTCTGCACATTTGAAATCTAGGTTTTGTTCTCTTCTGATGATGGCCGGTTCTCCGAGTCAGATTGCCGGATCTCTTCAATCATTCTGACAACTTCATCCATGCTTGGTCGCATATCCGGCACCCTTACTACGCATGCCATGGCAATTTGCAGCATCTGCACCATCTCCTCTTCGATGTTTTGAAACCTCATCAACTCAACATCAAAAACCTCAGCAGTCCATTCCTCCCTCACAACCGATTGCACCCACCTCGGGAGATCCACCATGTCATCACGCCCAGGTGATTGAAGCGGTTGTTTTCCCGTCAACATCTCAAGAACCAAGACACCAAAGCTGTACACATCCGATTTATGAGTGTGCTTTCGTGTTTCAATCACTTCTGGAGCACGGTACCCAGCATGTCGAGACGGAGTAGGAGGGAAGTTCATTAGCGGGGCTAGGCCTAAATCGGAGACGCAACCGTCTAGGTCTTGGTTGAGGAGGACATTTGAGGACTTGATATTGCCATGAGTGAATTTCGCACCACCCATGGAATGAATATGGGCAATGCCTCTTGCAGCTCCAAGGGAAATCTTCACTCTCGACTCCCAATCTAGTGAAGTTCTTCCAGCAGCCCTGTTCCCTGCGATTTTATTTTATTGAAATCGAGTGATTTTAATGGATTTTCACCAACAGAAATAATATTCTATGCACAAATAAGAGAGCTGTCAGATTTCTGTTTACTATGTGTTCATGCAAAAGTACAAGATGATTTCAGCCCTTTAGTAACCTACCACCTAATAAGCTTTCCAAATGAAATTGTACCTAACTAATAAAGAACTTTTAACTTGATCAGACTACATAATAATGTTAATCTAATATAAGCTTCAAAATTCCTGGGTATAAATGTCTTGAGTATAAGATATACACCATCAAAAATATTATACTGATGATAATCTCTTCATTGATGCAAAGAGCTTGAGAAGATCATGTATCTTGGATAATTTGTCAAAATTACAGTTTGTGGAGTGGTGTGAGTCAAGTAGTCAATTTTATTCAATTTTGCCTTGCATGAGAGAGAGAAATATTTTTGTAGATTGGTATTTGTTATTCATTGGTGATGATTGTTATAATTGTATTTCTTCATAATGAAAAGATGAGAATGAGTGGAGGTACTGTGCTTTGAGCTTAGTGCATAGCGCAAACATATTGAAAGAGGGTTTAAGACTTTCCATGGATATCAAACTTCAACATTGAAAAAGTGAAGATACTTAAATCTTGTAATGTAAAAAAACTAAAAATGTATATGTATATGAAAAAGTTTTCGTCTCTATGAACGAGGTTGGCTCAGAGGCTCAAGACTAGAAGGAAAGCTATTTTTTGCACTAGTTGTGCAAATTTTTGCTACTTTCAAGCCTAATCTCGCATCTTCCTAATGGGCAGCCCATACTTTTACCATTCATTTCTTCTACTTGCACAGAACCCAAAACCAGACAAAACCCTCTCACAAGGGTGTGGGACTCACAAAAAAGGTAAGACCCACCACATTTGAGAGGGTTGTGTCCGAATCTACAATCAATTTCTGTATTCCTAAACTTTTCCTTTACCAATTAAAACATAATTATTGTAATGTTTAGAAATGGAAAATGCATACCGTGCAAGAGTGTAGCCAAGCTGCCGCCCTGGATATAATCATAAACCAGGAGCTTCTCATCTTTCGAGTAATAATAAGCACGGAGAGGCACAACATTTGGGTGCTGCCCAACTCTCCCTATAATTTCCATCTGCTGTTCAAAGTCCTTCTTCCCCACCACAACTTCTTTCAACCGTTTTACCACCACTGTTGTAGACTCCTCCAAGACAGCCTTATATGCAGTCCCATAACTTCCCTTACCCAACACCTCAGCCGAAGCCCTCAATAAATCCTCAAGATCAAAATTATATGAACAGCCTTCGAAGAAAACTAGCTTGTTCTTTTCAGGCTCTTGCACGCCACTCCCAAACTCCTCCTTTGGTTTCTCACTCCTCCCACCACTAGGGCCCTTTCCCTTTAACACACTGCTTCCCTCTCTATCCTTTTTCTTCAAACAACACAATAACATGATTAGAGCAACGAGGACCAGAATCACTGACCCTCCAACTGCAATGGCAATAATAGCACCTCTCGTGAGTTTCTTTTTGGAGCTTTTAGGGACTTTAGGTGGAGGAAAGGATGTAGGAGAAGGTGGAGGGAATACGGGGGAGCAAGGATTTAATGGTAGACCACATAAGAAAGAGTTTCCAACAAACGAAGAATTGGGGAATTTTTGGAGTGAAGATGGAATCGAGCCGTTAAGATGATTGTAGCTTAAATTCAAATGTTTCAGCTTTGGGAGGGTGACATTGGGAATGGGTCCAGAAAGGGAGTTGTTTTGGAGATTCAATCCAGTGAGCTGTGTCAAATTCTGAATTGATGGTGGAATATTGCCAGTGAAGGTATTAAACGAGAGATCAAGAACAGTGAGTTTGGGTGAAAAAGAGGTTGGAATGCCGCCGGAGAAGTTGTTATGTTGGAGAAAGAGTAACTGTAGGGAAGGAATGGACAGGATATCAGAAGGAAGATTTCCATTGAGGAGATTGGAACGCAGGCTGAGAACCCTTAAGGCATCTAACTTTCCAAGAATGTTGGCCGGGATGGGGCCCACAAGTCCAACACCAGGAAGTCGAAGCTCAAGCACACGGGTGCCATCTGGATTGCAAGTGATGCCTACCCAAGATGAACAAATAGGGGTAACAGCGCTCCAATTGAGCTTCCGACCATGAGGGACAGCAGCAGCAAAGGTGAGAAGGGCTTGTTTATCCGAATTCAAATTCAGATCGGCAAGAGTTAGAGGAAGAAGAATAACAATAACAAAGAGGGAAGAAAGCAGTGGAAAAATAGGGCAGATTTTCATGGGGAATTGTTCACCACGAGGTGTATGGAACTGAGACTGGTATAGGCCTTGTTGTTTTCCTGGTTCAGTAAAGACCACAAAACAACATGAGATGCCCAAATAGCAAACTTTTGATTAATATTTACCATAAAGAAATGAGAAAATAAAGGTAATCTACCCTGTCCAAACATGAATTGTAACAATAATCACCACATCGTACCCAAAATCAGAAGGAAAATCAACAAAGCTTCTGCGATGATCTAGTGCAGGGATTTAAAAGAAGACAGAAATAGAAACATTTTGCACAATCAACCTATAGAATGTAATTCACCTATGTTTGTGTTCATCAGAAATGTCAAAAAAAGAAAAAAGAAAAAAGAAATGCCTCCCTTCTTCCTCAAAGAGTCTAAACCATCAAAATATATCCAAATTTGCCCAAGAATCAAGAGCTGTCAAGATGTTAGCTTCTCGTATATGAATCTTATTCACATTAGCCAAACAAGGAATCAAGAGAAAGAATTTAAAAAAAACGTCTTTCTGTGCCTTTATTGTTGCTATCTGTTCATAACAATATCATATTCTTGGGGTTGCTTTTAAAGTTTGGAATTGAACAACATAATGCCATACTATGAGCCAACTGGGGGAAATAACCAATGCTAGAGACTAATATGGTTTGGCCAAATACGAACAAGCTGTCCACATAGTTAGCAAATGACACACACATATATCCATCAGCCAGTAGGCCTTTACATAGCGTTCATACCGACAAAGAATAATAGCTTTGTCCACTTAGCTGATATCAAGCAATAATTATTTCATGGGAATTTATCAATATAAAACCTTTTAATGAAGGACCTTAAAGTAAGTGGGTTATATATATACCCCTATTGATAAAATATGTTTATATACATATCCATAGGGGTACTACTGTAACTTGCATATGATTAGCAAGGCAGGCTGAAAATTTGAAGTACCAAAATCACCAAGGGTTTTGAAACATCTTTAACTAATAACCTTTCATAATAGTAATTTTTTCAACTTTTCTATAAGAAAAGCAAAGCACATTATATCTCTTTTTCCCTAATGTCCATTACTTGACTTGCCAAAAAAAAAAAATTTCAAAAAGAAAACAGAAAGTAATCAAAATCTAAAAGTATGAGGCGAAGGCATCTTAGAAGGACAAAAAGATAAGGCACAAGACTTTTTTCAATCACCTTCAAAGCAAGCCCCCACCCACACACACACACACACATGGAGAAGAAATAAAACCCACCCACAGAAGTGAACTGCAAATGCAGAAGGAAGTGGATATCACACTATAGATCAAAGATTTTTACAGAAAATGAAAGAAAGAAAAAAGAAGACAAATCAGAGATGGCACATTTTAAAAGAAAAAAAAATAATAAAATAGCTTTAATACAATTTTAAGTGAACTGCAATGCACAATAGCTTTACCTTTCTGTGATAACGAGGGAAAACTGGGAGACAGACTTACCAATTTTATGCCAGAAATTATGGGTTTCACTTGTTAGGATCAGAGACCCAACAAATCATCCTGAATTTAGTCAACAAAAACACAACTCTGTTCAAGGTAATGTTAAGTACTAGATTAAATTAACCACAATCAAAACCCTAAACAGTGTGATCACAGTTCCCTAACCCTTTTGGATTTGAGTAGTTGAACAACCATAGTTAAAAGCAATTCAGAAGTGTAAATTGCATGATAGAATTATCTAGACTACTTCAAACAAACACCTACCTAACTCTTACATACCAACATTTTCACATACACCACTCTAAAAATAAAATTCCAAAATTTAAGCAAGAAAACAAAATAATAAAAGTAATTGAATCCTTCACAACTGTCAGCAGAGTTAGAGCAGATACTCAGATCTACCACTAGACCTTCTTGCAGTCCAGCCAAAGCTTAAGAAGAACCCTAATATCCACATATCATATGTACACATTGAGTGCCCTAGAAAGAATAGAATGAGGTAAGGAATCAAACCTTGAAACATTAGGACCAAGGGCAGCGACTTTCTTCACATAATGCAGAGCTCAGAAGGCGCCATTGAAGCTCCAACCGAGTTCCTAACTGAAAACCCAAGTACCAAAAGGCCAACACTGACGAATTGCAGAGCTGAAGCCACAATGTCGCAGCCACATTACTTCACAAATTCAGCTGCAGATCCGAAAGTAGAAGAATCCTATTTAGCTGAAACTGGGTGTCTTGAGATGGGCGTGAAAATTACGCAGAGATCTGTGTTGCTAAGAAAGTACCAAGGATGATTTTCTGGGAAAATTTTGTTTGTGGAGAGGGAAAGTGAGAGAAAAATAATGGAGAAAATGAGGAAAGAGAAAAGCAAGGAATTGAGAGAGAAGGAAAGAGACGAGGCACTGAAGTGATGACAGAGAGAGATAGAGAGAGAGTGAGGAGCACCATCATGTGTTTATGAGAGAGAGAGAGAGAGAGAGAGAGAGAGGGGGGGGGGGTGTTTATTTAATTTAATTAAGTGACCAAATCGAATAATGGTGTGTTGGGACATAGTTTAATTTAATTTTGATAAATAATCCCAATCTCTGCATACGTTGTTAACCCCCTTCTTTCCAATTTTCGAGATGGACCTCATTTTGTTCAACAATTACAGTTTTATCCTAGAAATTGTTACGTTGTGTTGTGTCGTGTTATGTTGTGTTGTACACTTGTTCTGTTGTTGCCTTTTAGCTGTTGAGTTGATGTGCTCTTACAACAAATAAATAAATAAAATAAAAAATGACTGTATTTGATTTGAAGGGGTTTGGAGTTTTTTTTTTTTTTTTTGACTTTTTAGGTTTTACATTTTTGTAGTAATTTTTTGTTAATGTGTGTAGAAGTTGTTCACTCTATTTGGTTTTAATTTTCAAAATTTACTTTTTAAAAAATTTTATTTTTTGGTTTTTCATATTTTTTTTTGTTTTTATTAAATTTTTAAAAATACTTTAAGAATTTTTTTTTAATTTTTAGACACACTTAACATAAATATATTGAAAAAATATAATATTTGTGAAAAAAATCTTTAAAAAATTCAAATATCAAAAATATAAAAATTTAGTATATTTTTCATATTTTTGTGTATTTATTAATTTTTTAAAATATTTTTTCATAAATATTTTACTATTTAGATCTAAATAAGATGTATCTTAAAAAATAAAAAAGTTACTTAAAATTTTAAAAATATTAACTAAAAAAAAACTCAACTTTAAAAAAATTAAATTCAAAAAATTAAAACCACGGTGGTTAATTTTTTGAATGAAAATATTGATGTGACGTTTAATGTTTTTAATTGAAGACAAATAATTTAAGTGAACTTTTTATTTTTTTTATTGTTTCCAAACAATTTCAAGTGTTCATTTGGGATTTATTTTTTTGCGATTTTTTTAGTTTTTAAATAGTTAAAAAAAGTTATAATGTGTTTTAAAAATTACTAAATAAGTCTTTTTTCCCAATAAAAAAATTGACGTGACATTTAATTTTTATTGTCTGATGATAAATAGGATGGTTTGTGATATTCTAAATAAGTATATTTCATAATTTTTTATTAAAAAAAAAGTGTAGAAAAGTAGGTAAAAAAATATAAATGAAATGTTAATAGATGTTGATTGATGTGACTAAAATAAATATATGTATGTAAAAAAAAAGTGTACTTTTTTAGTGTATTCCAAATATCTACTTAGGCCTCGTTTGGGAATATGTTTTTTTAGTAACTTTTTAGCTTTTTAGCTAAAATGTGATATAAAAAAAACTAGTATATTTGGGATGATTTTTTAGTTTTTTACGAAAAGATGTGCAAAAAGTAGAGAGAAAATGGAATTTTGACTTTTTGGTATGAGCTGTTGACTTTTTAATTTTTTTAGTGAATTTTTAATTAAAATAGTCACTTGCCAAACGAGGCCTTAATGATATTTTGACTTCTTTTTCTATAAAAAATTAACTAATTTGTGAGATTGGTAAACGATGTTAATTTGTGAGTTTGGTAAACGATCAACTAGTGGATAAACAGTTATTTTTATGAGTATGGAAACTTCAGTTCGAGCTTTATTAACCTTATTTTCTCTTACTAATAATAATTGTGAAAGATAGTTTATTTAATAAAATTTGGGTCTTTAAATATTTTTTGTTGATTATAAGACATCATGTCAAGAATTTTAAAATTTTCAAGAGATGATCTAAAAACCAAGAGTATTAAAAATAAAGGACAAACTACAATGCACCTTTTGTGATTAGTTTAAAACACGGATTATTTCCTATGATTTAGAAAATTATAAATAATCACTTATCAATTTTTTTATTTTAACAGAATTAACTAAAAAAATAAAATTTTTAATTGCTTTTTTATATAATAATAAAATTACTTGAATTATTAATTGAAATATATTTATGATATCATTAAAAATTGTTAATTAACTTTGTGATTTATTAATAAAAGGGATCACTTGTTAAAAAATTAAAAACTTTAAGAAACAATAATTTTCAAAATCATAGGGAGTAATTCGTATTTTAAACAAATTTTAGAGGTTATATTTGTAATTTGCAATTTATCCTAAAATTAAAGGTCAAAAATATTTGAGGGTAGAAAATTCAATATCATTATCAAAACAATTGTAGTTACCAACAATTACCCCAAGACCCCTTTAATTATTTGTGGATATCAATTTACCCTCTTTATTTATAAAGTTGTACTTTTTTAATCTTTTGATTATAAAAATGCATCACTGTCACTCTTTTAGAAGAGACATTTACACAATTTATAAATTTATACATGAGGAATGTTGAGAACACTGTCCCACATCACCTGGAAGGGACTCTCATTTCCACCTTATAAGCGTACTGGTCCGCTCTATTTTGTACGAGGCCTTTTTGTCTGAGGAGGAACAAAACTGTGAGGCTTCGGCCAAATGGGACAATATCTGCAAGGGCATGAGAGGCCAGACACACAAATTTGGCTCTAGAAGGAGGGCAGTCCAACAAACTTTCCCGTTGTTCGTGGCCAAATTCACTGGGGGCTATGATGAGGACACTATCCCATATCGCCTGGGAATAACTCCTATTTCCACCTTATAAGCATATTGGTCCCCTCTATCTTGTACAAGTCCCAACTTCCACCTTATAAGCATATTGGTCCTAAATTTGCGTGTCTAGCCTCTCATGCCCCTGCAGATATTGTCCACTTTGGGCGGAGCCTCATGGTTTTGTTCTTCCTTAAGGGAAAAGGCCTCGTACAAGGTAGCAGAGACTAGTACGCTTATAAGGTGGAAGTGGGAGTTCCTCCTAGATGATGTGAGATAATGTCCTTATCATAGTCCCTAGCGGACTGGGCCACGAACATTGGGAGAGTTTGCCAAATCGCCCTCCTTCTAGCGTCAAATTTGCATGCCTAGCCTTTCACGCCTCTGTAGATATTGTCCACTTTGGTCGAAACCTCACGATTTTATTCATCCTCGAGGGAAAAAGCATCGTACAAGGTAGAAGAGACCAGTACGCTTATAAGGTGGAAGTGGGAGTCCCTCTCAGGCGATGTGGGACAGTATCCTCATCAAGGAGTAAATTGATAGTCATTAATAATTATGATAATCTTAATGTAATTAGTTGATCTAGCTATTGTCATATAATAATAATAACAATAATAGAGGCGAACATGTAAAATTGCTCTTTTTAAATACAATATGGACTTGAGGTCATTTTTGTTAATTCATAGTAATTTTTGTCATGCTAAGAATAATAGTGAGCATTTTCAACGGCAAATCAAAACTTCTGTCAAATCATTTGTTGGTTAGACTTGTATTAAATTTATCAGAGTGTTTAACAAAGTCAAATTATCACCAGCTTTGTAGTTGTATTTTCACATCCATTACAAAAAAAAAATTGTTTAAAAAATGACAAAATGACGTTATAACCAGATTTATTATGATATGCCCCAACTTTAGTAGTTAAAAAATAAAAAAGAAATTACGCATCAGTAGGGATTAGAAAAAAATATTAATAAAAAATAATAAATATTAATAATTAAGACTATAATTTTTTTTAATCTTTTTATAAATATTTTTTTTAATCTCTATTGATGTGCAATTTTTCTAAAATAAATAAATAATAAAAAATTCAAACCTATTTAATTTCACATCATCATCATCATCATTTATTTTATTTTTTGGTCATTCATGACACAATTTTAGCATTCACATTTGTCCAACATGGTGCAAGGAGATTAATGAGAGATTGTTACATTAGATTTCGAACCTTATTTATGTCAATTTTTGGAAAATGAATTTGTTAGCACACACCAATCAACCAAATATTAATTAATAATACTTAATCGATCAAATACTTTTTGAAGATGACTTTTTTTTGTTCAAAAATACTTGTTTGGTTAGTTTTTGGGAGAGTTGTTTTTAAAAAAAAAAATTGGGAAGAGAGTTTAGAAATTTTTTTGGTTTGTTTGGTTGTATATTTTGAGAGAGTTATTTTTTTGGGAGTTTGGGATGATTTGATATTTTAGGAGAATTTGAGTAGATGTGTGTAAGAGAAAAAGTGATTGAGAAAGAGAGAGGAGAGAGAAAAAGTGATTGATTGATGTGTAAGAGAGAGAAAGTAATTTTGAAAATTTTTTGAAAAAAATTCAAACCAAACAATTTTTTAGAAATTTTTTTCTAAAACTCATGTCCCAAATGCAAACCAAACATAACACAAAGAGGTAGAAGAACTCGACCCTCAAGAAATAAAAAGATATTCTTGCTAAAAGTTGAGGAAGAAGTTCTAAATAGTAGTTGATTCGAACATGAACCAGTATGCAGAATAAATAGTTAGTGTAAAGAATTTAAAATTCAGTGACGTCTTTACATGCCTTAGATTAGACTAAAATTATAGGCCTCACATCAAAAAAGTATATTTTTCACATTACTAATTGTCTCCCAAAACTTAAATTATTAGCATATATATATATATATATGGGGGATTTGGTGATAGTCCCCTTACTATCTAATTTGTCTTTCAAAAGGATAAGAATTATATAAGTACTTTCAAAACTTCCTAATATTTTAAAACTTGTTTCTTTTACTATATTACACTCATATCTATCAGCTCTCCTATTACGCCATTTTCACTGTGTATTTCAGAGTAAAATTTTACTCTGTATGAAAGTAAAATTTTATTTTGAATAAGAGTAAAATGTTACATTCTGAAACTAAAAGTAAAATTTTACTCTGTATAAAAGTAAAATTTTACTCTGAAAAACTAGCAAAATGTTAGACTCTACACAAAAGTAAAATTTTACTCTGTATAAAAGTAAAATTTTACTCTGAAAACGAGTAAACTGTGAGACTCTGAACTTAAAAGTAAAATGTTACTCTGCACAAAAGTAAAAAAGCGAAGGCAGTGTTTGTGGCAGCTGAAGTGTTTGGGAATGACCACCTCTTG